GTGGAATAGTCGAATACATTCGGGCTACGGTCGAACCAGAACAAGTCGTTTTGGAATTTATAGGGATGCTAATCCAATCGCACCATGTTTTGTGTCGAGTCGGAATTTGATCAAATTAGTTTAGGTCGTTATTATTATTTCCCCTTTGCTTAAACGTGAGGACAATTTTCATAATCATCATTGGATAAAATTCAACCGGTGTTTCTCGTTCATTCGATCGTGTTTTTGATATTTGGTCTTGGATCTAAAAGGTTGCATGTATTCCGAACTACATTTATGATAGAACACAAGGAACGATCGACCAACCATAGGTATAGTTTCAGTCGCACCGGTCACATGTTTTTCGTAAACTACGTCGAAGGAAGCACAGGAAACTTATTTACTCAAATGGCTCTTTTTCAGTTATTTTGCAATCCTTGAGCTTTTGCCACTCATGCAGATATGTCTGTCCTTTTCTCTACAGTTTTTATCACAAAACTGTTTGGGGTTTCAAAATGACCAAGTCCATGAATGTTAAAACTATTATCGGGGAAACAAGTGGTTTGTCCCAATTGGTAACTGCAATGTAAATTGACAAAAGTAATAGCCTAATCTCAACAAATTACCGAAAGTATTTCAAAGTTGATCATTTGTACATGACTCTGTGATTTGTTGACTGTTTATCTAATCCGTTTTAGTCTTATAAATTTCCCCAAAACACTGACGACTTGTCCCAGCTTCGCACTTTTTGTTACTGTGATCCACATGGCTCCAAAGAAATACAGTTTTCTTCTGCGCTCAAGTTACACCTCATGAGAATCGTTTCATCTTATATTTACAGATCTACCTTGACACAGCTCAGTTTGCTAGATTCTATCACTGCTTGGTCCATACCGGAAACCTTGCGCCGATCGCTAGAATTTTCAGTCTGGCACAGTGGAATCACTTTGATCCGATCATTACCAGACAACTTAGTATCGAACGCCACATCCGCTGATCCCGAGGTACGTGAATTCATGCGCGAACTCCTAGATTACTTCACACATTTGGGCAACTTCTCTCCGCTTGTGGATCCACGACTTGTTCTCGCTGTCACCGCCGAGCAAGACGCATATGTTCCACGGCATGGCGTGGTTCCACTCAATCGTCTTTATCCGGGCTCGGAGATCCGTTTACTACCCCAGTCCGGTCATGTTGGAGCCTATTTGCGAAACACCGTTTGGACCATGGATTTTCGGTGAGCGTTGCTTTGCTCATTCACTTCTTTGAGTCCTAGTCAAAAATGCCTGAAATGAGTTCCTCTTAGACGGTTGGTATAGAATGATCGAATCTAAAAGTACAAGAGTCGATTTACTGAATTGTCCTATGGTTTCACTTTTGTGTTTAGCAAGTTACCAGCTTTAATGGTAATGCTGTACATGTATCCTCATCAGCCATAATGACTGTATTGTATTGTGGATAACTTTCGCAAGCTTACATTTCTTTTAAAAAACTATACACGCCAACCATCATAGATAACATTCCCGGGGAGTGTTTAGATACATAGGGATATGTCATAGTCCAAGGTTATGACAAAGTTCAGGTGTTACCCTCTCTTTGCTTATGTGTAAACGTGCAAGATAGAGTATAGACGAATTTCGGTCAGTGTTGATACGAGATGAAATTTTGCGAAATCGAGAGCGCGTGGAGGAACGGAAACGACAACGTGTCAGTTCTACGCGCAACGGGTGGTCAGGATCTGTGAGAATCTTCTCCGCAAATCGGGCACAGTAAGTTGTATGATACCCTGAAAGTTTCACAGTTAACTCGTTCATAGGAATAGAAGGATCGCGGCTAATAATAGTTAGACCGCGGCGTGAGGCGATGACGTCCTGTTCAGTTATGTCAAAAAATAACTGACGAAAAATAAAGTAAGGTGGGGGAAAATACGCTGATACACAAAGGTAGAAATAACTAACTGAGATACACGAAACTGCCTGAGCTTTTGTATTTGAAATGATAGCTACCGCAGTTTACCAATCCAGTTGGGGATGTGGGTTAATCAACTTAGATTGTTAACTACAGTCACAAAAAGATATTTGACCGAGTTCACTCGTGATAAACAATTGCTATTTATCACTGCGGGGTCTTTCAGGTATGAGGAGTGTGCAAAACTCAATAACCATTCAACACATTTACTGGAGATCAAGGTTAACCTTAGAAGGAGGAAAATAACTGAATTTGACCATGATTGCTAGTGAAGCAGTGTGGATCGGCGAAAGAAGAAATGGGTTTACACAGCACAACACCTGCATAGTTGAAAACACGCGCCCTAGGTCTTTGTATGACCACCCTTAACTTTTTACACCCACTGCCTACCTCAGGAAACATTGCGCGCCGTGCAACCCATCTGGTGATATGCGTAACATATGTCTCAACCATCGTAATTTACGAATTTCGACCACTTGCTCCAGTGCGCGACCGAAGTAACTTAAGACTCTGCGCCTAACCTCAGCATTGCCCGTCCGACTGCCCCACTAGATTCGTGCAGTGCTGCGTAGACAGCTGTGTTCAAACACCGGCAGGTTATTTTCATCCTGTTTTCTTAATGGTCAATTTTCTCCGCTGTATAGCAGAACTGTCCGAACCGCCGTGGCGTACATTCGACCCTTCATAGACAACCGGACGTCGCAACGGCGCCACAGATGTTTCAAGTTAGCAAATGCCAATCGAACCTTTTGTATGCGAGCTGAGACTTCATCCGTGATGCGTCCACCGGATGAGATGTAGCTGCCCGAATAGCAAAACTTATCCACCTGCTCTATTACTTCGCCGGTTAAAGTAACACTGGATGCTGGACCAACCCAATCTTGTAGTAACAGTTAACACTTAGAAGGTGCCAAACGCGTACCGAACATGGCTACGCTGGCGTTCAAGCTATCCAGGAAAGCTTGCAACCTACCTGGGTCTTCACTTAGCAGCACAATATCGTCTGCATTCTCGAGATCAGACATTTTGCAATCTGGAAGTAAATCGATGCCGCTATTCTCACACGAGTATAGGGCTGTTCCCATAATCAACTCTATAACAAAGTTAAATAGAAACGGAGAGTGAGTAACCCTGACGAACACCACTTTCCGTGGTGAACTCGGGCGAAAAAGTGCCGTAAGCCCGGACTTGACTACGGCCA